TTTTGGTTATAAACCCCTCCTTTTATTAGCTCTCTTAAAACCCCTTAAGAAAATGTATAAACCCAGGGCTTATAAGCGACATATTACGGTTGTGGAATTTCTACCCAAAGATAATTTCCGCTTTTACTTCGTTTTGTTTTTTTGCAGACCAAACACAGGACGGTCTCCTTTTGAAGAAGAAAAATCTGATCTTCTGCACAAGTACAACAGGATTTCACTGGAAGATGCAGGTAAGGGAGACGGGCCTAGTTAGGCTACCTTTTGCAGTTACCACCAGGAAGCCGTGTGAAATCAGAAGTGCTGTCCGCGTGTTTTACTGTGATTTGTTTGAAATCTAGTGCACTGCACGGGAGCCAGCCCGTCCTAATTTGTAAAACGTAGGCGAATATTCCTGGAGCTAAATTCTTAAAAACTGTAGTTGTCTTCAAAAAGAGAAATAAAAATGCGTCGTCATCTCGTCGTCCATAAAACGTCGCTTTAGTGGGTTTCACGTCCTAGTCGTGCAGTAGACGTTAAAGAAATGTACTAAAAAGCGTAGTGTACGTTTAGAGCTATTGTTTTGTTCATAAAATGAATTTTTTGACGTTCTCGCTGCCGTCGTCGTTGTGGCTGCAGAGCTTTTGAAATGAAAGCCAGTAAATAAAAAAATTTCTTTTGTTGTAACTTCATGTTTTGCTAATCGTTTCACAGGTTACACGATCAGTAGAACTCGTAAAATGTCAAGTACTTTGATTGGTCAGGAACTAAATACTGTTGTATACTTTTGATTCATTAGAAGCTGGATGGAAAGCACAGTACGAAAGAACCAGAGATCACTGTATTCACGGATTAGGCTGCAAGACTGGACCTTCTTGTAAAAGTAAATGAAAACTTTATTACAGTGGTGTATTTCTTAGAAGTCTCCTTAAGAGACCACGAGGAAGTGACTCGACAAAATGATTTAATCCTTCTTTGAAAGAATAACTCCGACAATTTGTTAATGAATGAACGAATAAACTTTATGAACGTGTCAATACAATATCTAGCAGAAGGGAAACCCTCATCTAATAGGAGACGCCTAAAGCGCGATACAATGATGACATTCAGTTGCAATAAAACGAATTTTTTTAAATTTATAGTGAGCACGATACAATGAAAAGTTTTTAACTTGTTAGTGGCTGGCTTTAAAAAACACGTAACGTTGATGGGTAATGCAGTCCATGATTAAGATTTGGTCATGCTATCTTTCTTTATCCCATCCCATCCCAACCCATCCCAACCCATCCTATCCCATCCCATCCTATCCCATCCCATTCCATTCCATTCCGTCCTATCCTGACCTGTTCATTAGAAAGAAAAGACAGCATAATAGCATTCCAATATCAATACCTTATATGGTTACTTGGTATTGGCCATTTTGAGGTTGCGCGTCAGGTTATTGTTATGTCGAGACCACTTTGATCCCTTTTGGGACGCTATGGCTTCATTCATTGGCTTTTACGAGGTTGCGCAAGAAACTGGGTTAAAATTTCTCTCGCAAAACAGTCCCATAGTGCAATTGGACTGGCCACTCTGTGGTCAAGAGTGATATTTCACATATATTTACATGAAGTCAAATAGCAACCATGAGAAAAATGGCTAACCATTGGATCGATCACCGTTTCTGGAAAAACTCCCAACCTTCCAACCCCTAACCCATGTATCTTGCCTAAAGCCACCCGTTAGGGAAAAACAAGAGTTAAGGCGGGTTGGGAGGGACCCAGAAACTGTAAATAATTCAACGAGATCCCGTTTTTGTTTGTTCGTCAGCCGGCTGTCGCATTACTCAGATCCATTTATTGTGTGGTGGAATTATTCCTCTTTTGTCTGCGTTGGAGATGGCCATGGCTAAAAATGCTGATAAAATTGGTCTCAGGTAAGTAATTCTTAACCCCTCCGCTTCCAAAAGAACTGATTATCAAAAGCATGAATCGCTCTAAAAGTCAAAGCACTGCTAAAAAGGTTATATTTGAATGGTCATACAATGTATTCACAGTATGTTTTAGCGGTTGATATTTTATTCGTCTGGCGACTTCGGTTCCCGAGGCGTCAGTTTTGGTCATGTCATTGTGTTTGCTTCTTGTCGCCGAGTAGTTTTTCTTTTTCCTTTTTGTTGCAGCAAGGAAAGTCGATCTCTGAGAGTAGTCCGCGTTGAGCTAGATAACGGTCAGCGACTGGTAGGTTTGCGTTACCCAGAGCAACTCATACCGGAAGCTACGTTGTTTCTGAAGGAGCAAAAGTTGCTCGACGCCGTTATAGTAAGTAAATATTTATTTCTATAAAGGAAAGTGTAAAAAATTCTCGTCACACACAAAAATGTTTCCTTTTGGCCAAGCACTCACGTTAAAGAACAGTTCCCGACCAGTCCTTAATTTTAGCAGCTTTGAACGATTTGATAACCGCACTCAGTCATCATCAAGAACTCTTCTTTACCCTTAAGTCCCAAGAGTGACCAACATTAATTTTCTCCTAACAATATAAACTACCCGCCTACCCCTCCCCTAAGTCAACATTAACACGTACTTCTCACTTAGGGCAAAATGTTGGCTTAGGGGAGGGGTAGGTTGGGCAGTTTCCTAGAAGCGTATAATGATCCACAATATCAATACGTAACCAAGAGAAAGGTTATAACAATTAATAAAATGTCACCATAAGTTGATCTTTTGTCAAATTCTCTGTTCTAATTCTTTAAAGACATACATGGAGAACAGTCTGGAGATTTTATTTGTCTGTGGATATTGGGTCTTCATAGCACACACCAGAGAATAAGTTTTATTTTTAAAACATCGCAACATGATCTTGTTACTTAACTGATATTTATTTCAAATTTTTAATAACCTGCGAGTTCAGCCTCCTGTCATTGCCCCCGTTTCTGGGGACGTTAGCAAGAGTCTGGTTGAAATTTTTGTCATGCTTTGCTACTGCTTCCAGGCTTCAACTTCGAACCTTGTTAGGTATTGTTTTGACTTAAACGATTATCTTTTTTTTTTCCCTTTATTTTCTAGGACAAACAAAATGGTGTTTTGAGTTCAATAGAACGTTCTAAACAGCCATCAAAGGCCAGCCGAGCGTATGAGGAACCGGAAACGCCCATCAACCAAAGGACGTTAACTAAGGCTACTACCCCTCCTGTAACTATAAAGAATTTCTTCAAACCGAAGACTGTTGAACGATCGCCTGAGAGCAATAAAAGTACATCAGAAGATCAGGATGTTAAGGAAAAGAGCGGGGAAAATGACTGCAATGAGATCGAAAATCAAGAAATCGAGAACAACGTCAAAAACAGCACGGATGACAAACAAGCAACGACCAAAGTAAGTAAGAAGGAAGTCAAATCAATTTACTTTAGATCGAAGGGAAGAGAAGAGGAAGAGCCCCCAGAAAATAAAGGACCTTTCAAAGGTGGTGCTAAGTGTAATGGTCTTGTGCGCGACCCTTCGGAACCCCCTTCGAAAGAGGACCTAAAAGGAAAGAACTCTTTGAAACGAACTAGTTCTGAAGCGTCGTCAAGGGCGATTAAGCGACAGAAGCAATCGAGCATTTTGTCTTCGTTTGGGAAAAGGACTGACAAAGATTCTAAGGACCAAATGGAGAAGGAAATTCTCTGCCCTGTTTGTGGGGAGAAATTTGCGAGCGGATTGAAAAATTCTGATCTCAACGAACACATCGATAATTGTCTTATTAAATCATAATGAAAATGAATACTAGTTATTTTTGAATCACAATATAACATAATTAGCAATAGTATTGTTACATGAAACTGATATAAATTTTAGTTATGAAATTATAACGCGTTCATGGTGGAGTTTTTTTTTTATCGAAACAAGCAAGCTTATGCTACATCCCTCTGATTCTGCACTAAAACCTGTGTCAATCCGTAGATTTACGCTCCCATGTACAGTCGAACTCCGCTTTGCGGACACCCGCTTAATACGGACACCATCATTATTACAGACGGTTTTCTTTGTCTCTGGGGAAAGAAAGCCCTTACATTTCCTCTAAAATTTGTCTAGAATTTTCTATTACTTGAGGACGGCTAGAAATTTGTAGATGACCGTTCCATTCACGTACAATTTTCGAAGCTTATCTTATAAATAAATTCCCCACGATTTTCTGAAATTTTATTTTTCACATTTTACTTTCCAAGTTAGGTTGTTTTTCGAAGAAAAAAGGAACCTAAACTTTTCGGTTTCTAAAATGTGGTGGCGAGAGGAATCAGAAAATTTCTCACTTTCGTAATACGTCAAATTTCATCTAAAATTTCGGAAAAATAGTAATCAAGCCGTTGTAATTTCGAAAAGACTCAAGTTCCCCAAGGATGACCAAACAGATACAAATTTTAACGCGCCGTTTAGAATGCATTTCTAGATATCTACAAAGTACTCTGGATAGCCTAAAAAGGAAACCATCGTTGGGTGCCCCGATTAATAACTTATTCCTTTCTCTAAACGGCAAAACTAGCCAACAAAATGAGAAAACCTGTACTAAATATGATTGATACCCCAATACATTCTAAATGAAAAAAAAAGCTATAATTTTAGGATAAGACAAGAATTTTGTCAGCCTCAAATCGGCAGAAAAGTAAGAATTTTTACTTATTTATTTGCCAGAGAAAAAAAACATAACGATATACATACAGACATGCAATATATTATAAAAAATGTTATTTAAAGATAAAAGAGGCGTAAATTGTAAGTAAAAGAATTAAAAGTATTTTTCTGGCGAGAAAGCTCAAACAGAGGCCTTGAGGCTTATTATACGAAGAATATTCAGTCCGTGGGTCGGAAAATAACATTCTAAACACAAGCGTCGATTTTTGTTGTCGACAAACCACAACTCTTCTTTCCTCGTCTGTGTGACAATCTTTGACAAGTAACGCTAATATCATCGCCCCTTTCTCGACAAATAAAAAAAAAACTTTGCGGTTTACTAAGTTGCAGCTTACTATTTGTAAGTAACTTGTAAGAAAATAGTAATCGAAATCTTTGGATCACAGAACTCTTTGACAAACTGTCGGTAACCTAGGATCGTTAAGAGTTCATGTTCTCAAAAGTTAATACACACTTCGAGTCCTTAGTAACTGTCAAGCGTGATCATTCGAACAATGGGTATTGAAAAACCAAATTATTTTTTTAAATGATTTTTTGTTTTCCATTTTGAGCTAATGCGCTCATACGATTAAAAACGATAAAGTCAGGGACGAAGAATTATACCCATATTTTCTATTCTTGACTTTTATGGTCAAAAATTGAAACTCTTCCTCGTTCCGTGGTTTCTATTGTTGGTCTCGTAATATGCGAGATCAGACAATAAATCTGAGACACACGAACCATTAGACGAACTTGAATAAATTAGTCTCGCCTAAATAGAAGATGGCGCTCACGCTTAGTTCGCTGGTAACCAATGTGAAATCGGCCTTCCAAAGCCACTCAGGTTCCATAAGAAACACAACTGTCGCCTTGCTGGTGTTTGGCCTGAATGCCGTCGTACAGAGTGAAGATTTCTTCCAGTGTCCTCCAGACAACTTTGTTTTCTACGCAAGCTGTTTCTTCATCATTCCTGCTTTGTTTTTGTTTATGGCGACGATTTTTCTTCACAGCGGATTTTGGGACCATGTTCGTGGATGCTGTTATTACGGAGGTCCGTACAAGCGAGGAGCAAAACGGTACTGCTGTTGTTTGTTTCCAAGATGGCCTTGTAGCAAAGCTCTTGTGGAAATCGTATTCCAAAGTTCTCTGTCTGGGTTCATGTGGATTTTCTGGGCGCTCTTGCAGCGTGACTATTACATCTGCGCCGCTCTCGGAGGAACGAAAGCAGCTAAATTAATCAGTGCCTCAGCCGCCCAAAAGTTACAAATCGAAGCAGATTTCGCGAACGCGGGAAAAAATTCACAGACGGCAGCGTTGCTCTTACTAGCTGGAGCGTTACTTACAGCTTTCGTTGTTGTTTCAGTTCAGCGATGCTGTTATCAGCGTGAGTTCGGCACCTTACCGAGTCCGTACCAGTATAAGA